TTTTGTTCAATTTTTCTTCTGTTCTCTAGCGTTCTACTCCAGTAAATATGGGTATAAGATGTGTCTGAGACTCTACCTGAATGGTGACGGCACAGGTCGGGGCACTCACCTTTCTCTGTTCTTTGTGGTCATGAGGGGCAAATATGATGCACTGCTGAAGTGGCCCTTTAGCCAGAAGGTAAATTATCTGATACTATTTTACTTTCTCTTTTGGGCTTTTGTTTATTCTCTCCTTTTGATATTTTATTTAGGGATGTGATATCAACTAAAGCATCACAATACCACTCATGTTGTTTGAATGCAAACTTTTATAGTAGGGACTGAATGTTGTGCCTATTTTGTTGTACTCTACAGTTTATATAAATATATTGCATTGAATATTACATGTACAATTGACTTAATAAGCAGACTGTTAAATTACGGAGAATTAAGGTGTTGGAGGTTGTGAAAATAACTCTTAGGTAAGGCTTAGTATTGTGGGTTAAACTATTTTAAGGTGATGTTGCTACAGTGTAGACAAGTAAGCAGTAATATATATCTATATGTAATTAATGTAACTACAGGGTTACATAAACTACTAATGGGTTAATGCTAGGAGTAGGGTTTGTTTTATGGTTAGTTACGTGTAATTTGTATTATGCTTACTTTGTATTTCTATAGCAAGTATGTATAATGTTTAACTACGTCATGTTAAAAGAAAGTGTTAGGCTTGTTTCACACTGCATGCATAAGCAGAATGTATTTATTCGGTGCCCATTTTAACAGGTTAGAGCATTTACACAGCACACAGAGATAGCAAGAGCAAAGCTGCACAGCTCACTCTGAATTAAAGCCACAGTGCATTGTTCTTGGTTAAAATAGACCTCAGTTACCACGAAAACGAACTAATTTTACCATAAAATCAAATAAGTGAGGTGTGCCATTTTTCTCAATCACCATATGACATTCTGCGCTGTGAAAAAAAAAAAAATCAATTACAAACTCATCATTGCCAGGAGTTTTTGTCCAAACTTCAATGGCCTGTTTAAAGGATTAAAACTAGAGGTATATTTAACTTTAAGATTACATTTATCATGTAAACTATGTATTTACAGTGGATATAGAAAAGAATCAGCCCCCCTTTAAAATAATCACATTTTGTTGCTTTGAAGCCTGCAATGAAGACTTTTTTTTATTTTTTATTTTTTAATCCAGCTGTCTTTACTCTGTGTTATATCTATCACTTGGATGTTATAAGTTGCACTAACATGTCAGAAGAAAAAAAAACATTCCACAGAATTTCAATGGGGTTTAAGTCTGGGCTCTGACTAGGCCATTCAAGGACCTTTTTCTCCTTCAACCACTGTGTGCTCAGTTTTGCTGTGTGATTTGGGTCATTGTCAGGTATATTTAACTTTAAGATTACATTTATCATGTAAACTATGTATTTACAGTGGATATAGAAAAGAATCAGCCCCCCTTTAAAATAATCACATTTTGTTGCTTTGAAGCCTGCAATGAAGACTTTTTTTTTATTTTTTATTTTTTAATCCAGCTGTCTTTACTCTGTGTTATATCTATCACTTGGATGTTATAAGTTGCACTAACATGTCAGAAGAAAAAAAAACATTCCACAGAATTTCAATGGGGTTTAAGTCTGGGCTCTGACTAGGCCATTCAAGGACCTTTTTCTCCTTCAACCACTGTGTGCTCAGTTTTGCTGTGTGATTTGGGTCATTGTCCTGTTGGAAGGTAAACCTTCTTCCCATTGACAACTTTCTGGCAGAGAGCAGCAAATTTTCCTCAATAATTTGATGGTATTTTGCCCCATCCAATTTTCCTTCTGTCCTGACAAGTGCCAATTTTCCTGCAGTCCCTGCTGCAGAGAAACACCCAATAACAGGATATCACCACCTCCATGCTTTACTGGAGGAATGCTGTCATTTAGATGGTGAGCTGTACTGGATTTCCGCCAGACATATCGTTTGGTGTTGAGGCCAGATAATTCAATTTTAGACTAATTTACCTCAAAATCCTCAGAATCTTCAAGGTGTGTTTTGGCAAAGCTCAGTTGTGTCTGCATGTGGCCTTTCTTGAGGATTAGCTTTTTTTCTTGCAACCCTCCCATACAAGCCACATTTGTGGAGAATTTGTGATATTGTTGTCACATGCACACAATGACCACTCTTTGTCATAAATTCCTGCAGCTGCTTCAGAGTTGCTGTAGGCCTCTTGGTAACCTCTCTGACCAGTTTCCTCCTAGCTCAAATAACTTCTTAATAAGAGACTTCACTGTGCCTCTCGGCATTGATAAAGCCTTTGAAATTTTTTGTATCCATGTCCTGACTTGTGCCTGTCCACAACTTTATCCTGGAGAACTTTTGACAGTGCTTTGTCACCCATAGTTGATTGTTTGCTTCAGTTGCACTACCAAGGACTGAAATGCTCCAGGAAATCTCTTTTCATGCTGAGATAATCAAAATGACCACAGCTGATCACAGTTGAAAGTCAAATGGCTTTGAGTGCCGTTGAGAAGGTGATTAGCTACACCTGATTGAGTTTACAAGTCACTTTTAGGAGGAGGTGATCCTTTTTCCAACTCATTGGCTGCATCCGAAAACTCTAAAATGCTGCCTTCGAAGGCAGCATTCCAAGGCAGGAAGGCATCAAGGCACATCCGAATCCAAATTCTGCTTTACTTCCTGTCTTCAGTGGTACCTTCTTCTGATCTAATTTTGAAGGCAGCATAGATGTATCCTTCGCTGTCTTTGATATCCCACAATCTTGTGCGTTCAGTTCCGTGACGGTTGAGCTAAAAAATAAAGATGGCATCTGAAAGTTGCGTTTGGTGGCCAGTTTGTGTGTAAATTTATATTTCTGACTAAATTTTTTGCACTTTTGATGATATTTCTAGTGAGAAATCAGTATTATAGTAATTAAATATTTGTTTAGTTATCACAAAAAATCGTTGTAGATCATTAAACCGTTACGCTGCCTCAGAAGCCTGGCCGAAATCAGTTTCATGAGGTGCCTTCTTGCAAAAACCCTGAGTGAGAATAGAGTATAAATGTTCGTTTAGTTTTGACAAATTATCACAAAAAATCGTTGTAGATCATTAAACCGTTACGCTGCCTCAGAAGCCTGGCCGAAATCAGTTTCATGAGGTGCCTTCTTGCAAAAACCCTGCCTGCAAAGTCATTGCCTCATATGGCAGCGAGGCAGCAAGTCGGCTGCCTAAGTTTTCGGATACAGCCATTGATTCTGGTTTTTTTTTTTTTTATAAATTTTTTTCCTGACATGTTGGTGTTTATATATTTCACTTGGATGTTATAAGTTGCACTGAGTAAATACAGCTGGAAAAAACAATTTCTTCCTTTCAGGCTGCAAAGCAACAAAATGATTATTTTCTATACCCACTGTACAGCATGTTATATGCATATGTGTGCGGGACAGTAGAAGGGGAACACGGTCACTGCCCATCAATCAAAGCACATGATAGACAGTGGTCAGAGGAGAACAGCTGAAAAACCGAGTGGAAGATACTCATCTTTATTTGCAGTTCAGCTGCGTGTGACAAACACTGCCAGTGTGAAAGCACAATGGGCGCATGCTGCTCCCACTCTGCATACAAAAAGCTCCTGTGCTGCCTCTGCTCTGCTTGTGCATCCAGTGTGAAGCGGACGTTACACTGTTCTGTCATCTAATGTCCAGTATAACTTTCAGAATATGAGCTTGGCATTACATGGATTGCAATTCCTGTCACATTCCTGTTCTTTCCTTCCAGGTGACATTGATGTTGTTGGACCAGAACAACAGAGAGCACATCATTGATGCCTTCAGGCCTGACGTGAGCTCCACATCCTTCCAAAGACCCATCAGTGAAATGAACATAGCCAGCGGTTGTCCTCTCTTCTGCCCTCTCGCCAAGCTGGCAGGCAAAAGCTCGTATCTGAGAGATGACACCATATTTATTAAAGCCATAGTCGACCTCACTGGCTTATAAAGCATTGGATTTATTCATAATGATAATTGATATTATTATTGTAATTATTATTATTATATCTCCGCTGCGGAAGCCGAACTATATTTATATAATATAAATAATAATATAAATGATGATAACATACTTCGATATTGATTTATTTCGAGAAATAATAGTAAAATTATTATGTGTTTGTATGGAGTGCCAGTGCTTAAACTACTTCCATAACAATTGCACTATTTTGATATACAGTGGTGTGAAAAAGTGTTGGCCCCCTTCCTGATTTCTTATTTTTGTGCATGTTTGTCACACTTTAATGTTTCAGATCATCAAACAAATTTAAATATTAGTAAAAGATAACACAAGTGAACACAACATGCAGTTTTTAAATGAAGGTTTTTATTAAGGGAAAACAAAATCCAAAACTACATGGCCCTGTGTGAAAAAGTGTTTGCCCCCTAAACCTAATAACTTTAAAAACTGCATGTTGTTTACTTATCTTTGACTAATATTTAAATTTGTTTGATGATCTGAAACATTAAAGTGTGACACATGCAAAAAAATCAATCAGGAAGGGGGCCAACACTTTTTGTAACTCAATATTTAAAACAATATATATTAATTATAATACATATTTATATATTACATATGTATAATACACATTATATTTTAACTATACCGACTTTTAATAATGTAATACAGAAATATTACATATAAGACATGTTCTGTGACCCGAAGCTTTGGTTATTTTATGCATATACTGTACTTTTAGCAGGAATGTTCATGCTGTTAAGTATGGGAAAAACTCTTGTATGAAATTGTGTGTTTTACCTTTTACTATTTAGCTGTCATTTATTGATTTATATCTTATCTATCATTTATATATTCAATCAAGCAGTTAAAGTCATTTTTAGTTTTTGTATAGATATTAAAATACTCTGTATTATAGCACTCTAGTACTGTAAAATGATGCTAATAAACTATGACATAATCGCTTTTGTTTTTTTGTCGGGTCGGGTTCATGATCCAATAATTCTTATATATTTAATTTTATGATTTTTCTGAAATGCTAAATTGTTGTGTGCTAACCATATCCATTTGTAATACCAAAAAACATTATGATCTTTTCTCTAAAGCGGTATGTATATTTTATCCAGTCCTAGTCTTCACGAAAAATACAAACATGGGATATAAAAACAAGAAATTCACATTGCGTCTGGTAAAAGAAAAAGTTTTAATGGGTCAAACAAATTGTACACATCCCACAATACAAAATCTACTGAGCATGTGGGAAAATCAGATGCAAACAAATGTCACAGGGAATCCGGTCCATTAAAAACAAAACCACTGATGTACTCGCAACTACAGAGACGAATGCTGCACGCCATGATCCAAACTCCAACTAAATTATTATTAGAAGATCAGATTGAAATCGCCTGCTGAAGATAAATAAAATCTCAAGGAACCAAAAGGAAATCAACAAAAAGTAATATGCATGATTAACATTACAGCTGAGCTTTACATATATAGATCATATATGTTAGGCATGGGGGAGCATATTAGAGTCACTTTTTCATAATAATAAATGAGCACCTTTGCTGAATATTTAATGCTGGTAAACAATGTATGCTTATGACACAAAGTTGCCCTGATGCTGCATAGTATCTCAATGAAACGCACCTACTGTAAATGGTCGTTGTTTGACCTTTTTTCTTCAGCTTTTTGGTAGTTTTATTAATCACACCTGCACAAATTCTCATGAAATATGTTGTACTTGATGTAAATATAAAATAAATATTCCACCATAACAGAAGTGCAGCACTGGTGCAAGTTAAAACCAAATGATTGTATAAAGCGAACAACAAAGTTCAACATGAAGGCTTGGAGTCTCTTTGGATTTTTTTTACATTTACATCAATATAGTATGATTGTTAAAACCTGTATGACACAAACCATGTGCACAACGGATACAATTGATTTCAATAATAAAGGCATAGATGGGGTAGCTCAGGAGTAAACATCTGCATTGTCGTTCTGTAATGATGTTAAATTAAACTGCTCCTCCTTTACATAAAACTGGAACAGAGATAAAACACCAGTGACATAATTGTGCTGTAAATTTGTAGCAGAATTGTATTTTTTCTCTGTTAGTATTTCAATACTCTGACCATGTCCTTGTTATGATCATTAGGTTGCTTGTATAACATCTACTAAAAACAGGAAGAAAAAAAAACAACAGAAATTACAAACGTGCAGACATGCAAAAGTGGCGCTCCATTCTTTATGACAGGGTTAAATGGACTCACAAACTGCACACGTGACGCACATATATGTGAATGTGACCTTAATATCTCTTTGAATTCTTGGTTCTTTGCTCTTGAATTCACATATACTGTTGATGCATGTCTTCCACGTTTTCATGTGCATCATTGATCTTTCAGAAATATAGCATTCCAAAGACATCGCTTTTCATCTCCCAGTGATCTGTTGGTCACAGTACGTTCTGCAAAAAGGCCACTAAGGAATACATGTATCCTTGTTCTCGTAGGAACCACGTGGAATCCTCAGTTTCTTGACCTCACACGTTTCGTTCTGCTCATGGAGTGTCTTTCTGTGTTGCTTTCCTCATGCGTTGCCCCCGCCAGCGTCTAGGTCAGGGCTTACCATTCAGATTAGCACTTCTGTGGCCAAACAAGGAGGAGAGCAGTTTGCGAGCCCGAGGGGGGCGTTGGAGTGCCTCAGCGAGGCGCACCATACGTGGCGAGCGCCACACTTTAATGGTGGAGTCGTCGCTGGCGGACAGCAGCAGCTCCTGGTCTGCTGGGCTGAAGGCCACAGAGTTGACCACGTCATCGTGTTTCAGGCGAGCCAGGCAGATGTTATAGTGCCGGTCCCAGATGTAACCGTGCTTGTCCTCAGCCCCGCTACACAGACAATTACATTAATTAGACAATTAACACTTCTAGTGCAGTTATTGACTCAATCCTTTTGATCTTTTGTTCGTCTAACAGTTATTGATGGTTCAGATGACTTTTGTATTTTACATGAATGTTTTCGTTAATCATTGTTAAGGTTTATTAGCAGAGGCGGACAGTAACTAAGTACATTTACTTGAGTATTGTACTTAAGTACACTTTTTGATTATCTGTACCTTACTTGAGTATTATTTTTTCTGGGAACTTATGACTTTAACTTCACTTTATTAGTAGAAGACTGGCTTTGAATTTCAGCAACTCCTCCAGACTCTAAATCTAAGCAGAAGTCATGCAGTGTATTCCAGCCTTAAATAGTTTTTAAAAATATTGTCCTACTTACATGAAGTAAATTAGAATGCTTTTGAGAATGATTTACACTAAAAATCCTCCTCTTGGAAATTATTGCAAAAAGAAAAAGGGGGGAAAATAGAAATACTACTCTTCAAAGCCAATGACTATATATATATATATATTAAATATCATCAAAAGGTCTGAAAAAGATCAGATATATCACCTAGCTGTAGTACTGTGTTGTCCTGAGTTTATAAGATCTTGCTCATATTCTGGTGCAGACTTTCAGCTTGTCTAATAATTTCTATTGGCTTCAATATTATGGAGCCATATTTTACATATGTGACCCTGGACCACAAAACCAGTCATAAGGGTCAATTTCTCGAAATAAATAAGCTTTCCATTGATGTATAGTTTGTTAGGATAGGACAATATTTGGACGAGATACAACTATTTGAAAATCTGGAATCTGACGGTGCAAAAAAAATCTAAATATTGAGAAAATGTAACGCCTTTAAAGTTGTCCAAATTAAGTTCTTAGCAATGCATATTACCAATCAAATATTAAGTTTTTATATATTTACAGTAGGAAATTTACAAAACATCTTCATGGAACATGATCTTTACTTAATATCCTTTATGATTTTTGGCATAAAAGAAAAATCTATAATTTTGACCCATACAATGTATTTTTGGCTATTGCTACAAATATACCCCAGCGACTTAAGACTGGTTTTGTGGTCCAGGGTCACATATGGTCATGTGATTTTCTCTGACTGGTACCTATCACTATTGATATGACTGATGACTTGAATTAAGAAAGGTTTTCAAAGCCTCAAAAAAGAAAAAAAAACCCCCCACTGAAATTCCCCTTTACTTTCTATATGCACTCATCATTTACAAGTTTACAATGATCTTAAACGCTTAATTAGTCATGCAAACATTCCTGTTATTAAACGTTCAAATGCTTTGATGAATTGAATCCACTCGATGCTATTCCCACAACATTAAAAAGCCTGCTTTTCAAAAATATTTTCCTTATGCTACACACATGCCTGACAGTATAAAATTCAAGACCAGTGTCGTTTCAGCCAGTGAAAGAATTGACTTGAGAAGAAATTACTTAGTACATATTTATTCTGGTAAATATGTACTGTACTCCAAATGGCAGAACTGGTTAACAGGCCAAAAACATCTGTTCACTACTGCAAATAAAATGTGCACAGCTGGCTGGGCTGTAAATTACCTGGCGACAAAGTCTCGGCTGACATCAAGGAAGATAAAGAAGCACTCATCGTTGGGTGTGAAGGCCCGGTGGGCTCGAAGGCTGCGGCGCTCTTCTCTAAGACTCTTCAGATCAATCACATGCAGGTCGATCTCCTCTGCGATGGGAGGAGGGCACATGGGGTCAGAGATCACACAGCCCGCTGGCCACGCTCGACTGTTCACATACAAGTACCTGTGAACAGACAAACACTGCATGACGGTCACCATTTTCACTGATAATGCTTTAATTTCAGCAGGGGTTCAGGAGTTGTTGTACATGGTTTTCCCTGGCCATTTAGGGATTTTATTTAAGTCACCTTTATTTTTATACAATTAAGTGGAAATGAATAGACTGAAATGATTTCACTTTATAAATATCTTTAAAGGTGCTGTATGTATTTTTTTTTTGACTACTTAAAGGGATAGTTCACCCAAAAATGAAAATTCTGTCATCATTTACTCACCCTCATGTCGTTCCAAACCTGTACGTGTTGCTTTCTTATGTTGAACACAAAAGATGATATTTTGAAGATTGTTGGTAATCAAACAGTTGGTGGTTGCCATTGACTTCCATATTAGGGGGAAAAAAATACTGTGGAAGTCAATGGCAACCACCAACTGTTTGATTACCAGCAATCTTCAAAATATCTTCTTGAATTATCCCTTTAAGCATAAAAATGCCATAACATGTTTTCAGATATTTAGGAAACATGATTGAGTTTGTAACGCTTTCCAATATTTAGAATTTGGACTGCAGTACCCATCCATTTCAACTGCTAGCTGTCAATATTACATACTGCACCTTTAATAAGATACAAAGATGAAGCTTTCTAAGCCTGCTTGCGCCCCCTGGAGGAAGACTGCGTGACTTCTTACCCCACAGAAACACAATAGCAACATCTTGGTAATCCCTCACAGCGCCATAGATTATATTGCACACAAATTCCACAGAGTGATTCTCTTTTTACAATTTGAAAGACTATGAACTTGCAGAGCAAACTGCATTAGTCCAAAGTGAGTTAAAGGCTCATGTATGCTAGTCATCTACTGTTGCACAACACACACCTATGATCAGGTGACAGACCCATTCCAATGATGTGGCCGTGTATGTCGATCACATGATCCAGTGAGTCAAAGAATTCATCTGTACTGCGCTCCTCTCCCAACACAGGACCGCACGTCGTCATTTGATCAGGCATTATCCGCTTGATGCCTGAAACAGACACATAAACACATGAATTTACCATCCGTCATGTATGGAATTAGCAGATTAAGTAATCATTCTTACAGTGTCCCATCAGAGACATAAGCGCATGCTCACCTATTTGGTGAGGCGAGTAGGTAAGGCTGCCGGTGGTGAAGAGGAGGTAGGTCTTGTCCTCTCCTTCTCCAGGAGCTGTTGGAGAGACCAGGTTTGGATCAGGAGCTTTGGTGCGTCTGCTGCCCATCAACCTGGCCACCTTAGTCTCCAACTCTCGATCATGCGTGGCTACGCTGTGATGACCCTAATGCCAGCAAATACAGAAACTGCACATATAACCGACAACATACAATAACAGCTGAAGAGATGTTTTTAAAGCATGGCTTAATGAAAGTCAAGTTTTATCTGTTGCTATAATATTAATTGCTCTATATTTCAAAGCTGCATTTGCGCCAGTCGTTTCAGAAGTTGAGCAAGTTATTACATTTTAATTTAAAATCATAAACAATTTGTCACACTTTAGTTTGGGGACCAATTCTTACTGTTAACTATGACGTTTGCCTCAAACTCCTAATTTTGTTATAAGTGCTAATAAACAGCCAATATGCATGCTAATAAGCCACTAGTAAATACTGAGAACTGGTCCCAATTTTTCTTTGGAATAACATGCACAGATGAAACTTTCAGGGAACACTTAAAGGCACAATATGTAAGATTTTTTTATTAAAATATCCAAAAACCATTAGAACAGTGTTATATATTTTGCTGACTTGTGTACTTACATTATCCCAAATGTTTCGAAGAATGTTTAAATCCAGAGAAATAAGCAATTTTAACTAGCGACACGGAGCGTGTCTATAGTGTCAATGTGTCGCCTGCCAATGACGCCATAACCCCTTGATTTCCGGTTTTGTTTTGTAGAAAACATGGAAACACCAAAGACGCTTTAATATGTTGTGCGTTTTATTAGACCGGTGACGACCGCACAGAGTAGCATAATAACAGAACTTTAAAATGTATCTAGTATGATAAAACAGCTGCTTTTTTCCCCCACATACGCACGACCGGAAGGAGCGGAAGCGGTCGACTGTGGCATAATAAAAGCTCCGCTGCTTTCGAACCATGTGTCACGCTCGTTCAGCGGCGTGTCGACGGCTTTCAGCCTCACCCTGCTTCATTCTACTACGTTAATAAATCATTAGCTCATCCATGAACATGATCCCGAGTCCGTCGGATTGCTTTGGCTGTGGGGATGAAGACGACGGCCTTTGTCTATTTTGAATACGCGCCCTCCAGCAGCGAAAATTACATATTGTGCCTTTAAGTAAATAGTGTCGATTCAGATTTCATGGCTATAAATGCTTAAAATAAAAATGTCATATTTATATTCAAATTTTGATCTATAAAAATTTTAATTGTATAGATCTTTTTCAAAAATGGAACACTTATATTTGATGAATATATGCAGTCATCTTTTGATGCAAATCCAAAAATACTACACACACATAATACTTGATTTTATCTTGCCCTATACATCCAATCCAATGCTTTTGTTGCAGAAGAACGTTTTCAAAAATTAAGGAAACCATTTCTCATTTCTACAGAAGATCAATGTATTCTGTATCTTTGTAAGTATGGGAAAACTGTCTTCACTACTAAAAACGAAAACACAATAGAATTCATAATGATATAAAAAAAAATCTTAAGTGGCTTAAAATGTTGTAGGTGCAGCGATCTCTATGGCTCTTACGTGTATAACATGCTGAATCCCGGATGGGTTACATAAGGGCAGATGTGCTGACACTCTTTTTTCTCCTCGTTTCTCATCCTCTTCATCCTCATCATGCTCATCGTCCTCCTCTTCACTGTCTGTGTTTCCCAGATCAAAAAAGAGAGGCTGGTGCTGCTGTGTCCGCTGGGCTTGAGCTAGAGCTTGTGCCTGTGACTGAGCTTCATAGTCCAGAAGGAGGTCAGGAGAGTCGTGTCGACGGCAGTGGGCCACCATCACTGTGCGGATAGTGCTGGCATTGATGTTTTGGATCTTAAAGAGACGCTTCACCACATTCACATTTTCTGACTCGATGTCCTAAACATGGAGAGGGGTAATACTGAGTGAGTAGTTAGGACAAAAATATCTAATACCTGCATACATCCAGAACCATTAGATGTTTAGCTAGAAATATATTTTTGTGTGTGCTATTGGCATAACTTAATATGGCGAACGTTTCTTATAATTAATAAACCACAATTAAAATGTTTTATCACTGGGTAAAAAATATTGTTCAATTAAATAAAATTATTTCATGGCCAGTAGAAAACATTTTTTCAATTCATCAGCTACAGTTAATTTTGGACTCAGCACATCACTTTAAACCCCTAGAGAAGTGAACACATCTGGACCTGGAAGGCTTTGTTGAGCCAGAGCACAGAGCAGGAGGTCATGTTGCCAATCCAGTGCAGGTTACCAGAGATGAGGTGAGTCTCATTCAGCCAGCAGCCAAAAACATCGTATGGCTTATTTCTCACACGGGACAGCAGAGTGTAGTTCTCTACAGATCCAAAACAACAACATCAGTCAGAAATCTATTTACAGTGGGTGTGTGCAATCGGTGTATGTAACAGCTGTCTCTACCCAAACTGATGACTGCAATCTCTCCAGAGGAGGAGTGATGTGGGCCCAGGTAGACCCCTGAGACCAGCAGCAGGGTGTCATCAGCGTTAAACTGTGAGAACTGAGTGTAGCCCCAGTTAAACTGCCGCATGCTGGTGCTGTGAACCAAAGAGATGTTGCCATCTGATCGCTCTGTGTCCCAAAGCTGTAAAAGCACATTAAGTGAATTTTTATTATTCGGTGAATAATAAAGCAGTAACAAATGATTTTTTTTTTATCATCAATTTTTGTTTAAATGTTGTATATACACATATGGAGAATTGTAGTTTTAGTAAAGCGGATGAAAAAAAACAAAAAACAATTTTTTTTTAATATATATCTTTTAAATTTAATAACACTGAAAATGTCCAGTAGAATATATTTCGTTACACTCTGAAACGTGAGTGTTCACATCAAAAGCATTATTTTCTAAATGTTTTTATTTAAAAAATACATTTTTCAAAGGAAATAGAATTTTCTATAAATATCATAACCTATGAATTATCATAACTAAAATGTCACTACTTTTATCTGTTATTTTTGACACACAGTCATGACAGTCTACATATGTTAACATCTGATGATATCATATTATCATCTTGTTTGTTTGTTTTTTGGACAAAGAAACTGATTTAGTGGACAAAGGCTTGTCAAATATTAACCTTTTTTTATCTAATAAATACCAAATACAAGCAGAGCGCTATAAGGTTTTGTTTAAAATAATTGTATTTATTTTTTCTTCCGTAAAATATTAGAAGTTAAGTCATTGTATGTATGAATTGCATTTTTTGGCAAGATATCATAACCAAAAAAAAAGTTGCATCCTGTCATTGACTTTTACTTCATACTTGCTGTTATTTGCTTTGAAAATTTATTAAATGCATATTGCTGTCCTCATTTGTGCTAGGAACATTTAATTAATATGATTTCATATTAGGTTGAATAATTATTAAAGAATAAATACATTTTGTGGAACCGCATCAGTGTTATGCAATACTCTATGTCATGCCAACTACCCAGATGTTTTCTGTTTTTGCATATAACCATAGAGATTGTATGTTATGGCTGGCATATGCAAATAATTTCTTTCATTCGGACATATGTCTGCTAGATTATAAATCAAAAATACTGTGTAAACATTTGAAATTTGAAGAAAAAAAATGTAATCTTTATTAAGCGAGCAGTAAGCAGTCTTACCTTAACAGTACAGTCTTTGGAGCAGGAAGAGAAGCGATGTCCACGGTGAGAGAAGGCCAAATGCAGGACCTGATCATGATGTTCCTTCAGAGTCTGAACCTCCACACAGGGAATGCAGTCATACAGCCGCTTGAACTCCCTGTACCACGACACAGCCGCTGCACACATGCAGGAAATGCATTGTTACTTTCAAAATACACAGGGAGTGCTGCCACAGTGTGGCATTCATACATGACAAACAGGGTAAAAAAATGTAGGCAGTGTCACATGTCTTTTACTACTTAGTGGGTTAGTCGTAAAAGGCCTCATGTATAGCCTATATTCCATTTTGTTTTTGCAAAATAAACACTAAATTACTTTTGGCCACAGATGTGAAGGTGTGTGCTTATACATTTTACACATTAATTCATTGCCTATGATGCAGTTTAAATAAAAGTTCAGCTCCAGTTGCAATACCAGGGTGGCGAGGCACAGAGCGCGGGATGCAGTAGTAGTTGTAGAAGAGCTCCTTCCAGAGGAACTCATCCCGCGACACCGCAAACCACTGACGACAGGTGAACCCAGCGCTCAGTACTGCCTTATGAGGGAGATGCCAGAAGATTTCCAGCACCAGGCTGTCCGGCAAGCCAGGGCCACTTGCCATCCTGACATCCTGAAAAAACATAACATTAACAATGACTTTCAACCGATTACATCAACAAAGGCTATTTTGCACTAAAAGGGATAGTTCACCCAAAAATGAAAATTGGATGTTTATCTGCTTACTCCCAGGGCATCCAAGATGTAGGTGACTTTGTTTCTTCAGTAGAACACCAACTGAGATTTTTAACTCAAACCGTTGCAGTCTGTCAGTCCTATAATGTCAGTGGATGGGAATCACGGCTTTGAGAGTCATAAAACATACACAAACAAAACCAAATTTAACCCTGCGGCTGGTGATGATACATTGATGTGAAAAGACACAAAATTGCATGGATCGCAGACTTATAAGTGCATTACCGCCACCTATCTCTCAAATGGACCATTGACACTCCCAATTGAGATTGTAGATAGAGCGTCAATGCTCCATTTAAGAGAAGGCTGAAGAAGAAGCCTTGTAAAAAATTATATAAATACTGTTTTGTTTGTGTATGTTTTATGACTCTCAAAGTGGTGATTCCCAGCCACTTACATTATATGACTGACAGACTGCAACGGTTTGACTTAAAAATCT